AAGTAGTGCAAAAGGTATCATATCATAGTCTTTCATGGTTCTTCGATTCATGTGAGTTTCGCCTCACTTTACCCATAGGTCGAAGGCACAAATGTCAACCCACTAGTTTAGGTTATCTTTAGTAGAAGGATGTCATAGGGACTGTATATATTCATTTAATGTAAACTGAGAACTCTTGATCTAGGATCTTTTAGATGTTCCTTGTTTGGTTGTGGTTCCAGAGTAGGATCACCTGTACGGGTGTCTATCTCACCTCTGAGTATATACAGTTATGCATTCGTTGGATTGTTGGTATTTAGTATGTTGTTATGTTGTAGCAACCTGTTAGATCTATATCCTGGTAGTTGGTATGTTGTTATGCTGTAGTGACCTGTTAGATCTGTATCGTGGTAGTTGATATGTTGCTATGTTGTAGAGATCTATTAGATCTGTATCCTGGTTATTAGGATGTTGTTATGCGGTAGTGATCTGTAGATCTATATGTTAACCCGTACTTTCTGGTTATCATCTAGTGGATCTGTATGTCTACCTGTACTTGTTGGTTATCATCTAGTGGAGTGCCCTATGGACTATATGTGGTCATGTAGGATAGCCTGAGAACTCTTGATCTAGGCTTTTTGCTTGTTCCTTGTTTGGTTGTGGCTCTAGAGTAGGATCATCTGCTCGGGTGGCTATCTCACCTTTGGTTACTTATGGTTATGCATTTTACGGAGGATAGTTAATAGCGATAGAGTGTGCGATGTAAGGACTAGTGTGACATCCCCATTTTGACGGCCAGAAAAGACCAATTTTGTTTATGCTTTGTTTAAAAATCAGAGTAACATTTTAAATAAAAGTGTTGCGGAATTTGTTCCTAAAACAAAATATGATAAATAAAATTTATCAAAGCATTCCTTAAAGAAATGTATTTTCATATATAAAAAAACTTGGGATGTCATGTTCCGATACAGACCAAAAGCATAAACGGCACATTATAAGCCTTACAACAGTTATATACAATTACTGGTCTATAAACAAAATATCTTCACAAATTGTCCAACTTATGCTCATGCGCCACTACCTGTAATACAAATAAAACTGAGTGGGTTAGACTTGGAAGCCTGGTGAGCATATAGGGTTTTCAACCCAAAATAAATAATTACAGTTAATTTTCACCATCCAACAATAACTCGATTACCCATTCCCGTTATCTTCACTTTATGTCCCTAAAACAACAACTATCACATGGGACCTAGTCTAGGATTTTTTTTCATTGGGATGAACATTACTGCAAACGGGTTTCCTCAACAATAGATGTTCTAAAGGCAACCATGAAGGGGATAAAGTACACTGGTGAACACATCGTTCACAACACATACATGTTATGAGCCTGACAGCGTTCCACTGGATTGTCTAGAAAGAGTCTGTGGTCGTCATCCATACTCCGCTAGATGACTAAATCAACAACAACATCGAGGCCTCTCATCATTTTATTTCATCACACATCAACTATCTACCCATGTTCTACCCAACATATATGTAGATAAAAGTATATATATACCGTTTAAAACATGTATACAACATTCAATCAATACTCATTTCACTAACAAATAATATATAAACACATAGCACGTATTTTATGGAGAATACTTCGTATTTATGTGTTAGAAGAAATCAACTACACACTTACTCAAAACGTATACTTAATACATTCAACAATACTTGTATTAAATCGCGTTTATGAAAGAGACTATGCAATCACTTGATAAGACGATGCTCGAATAGCACTACGACTCTTAAAGTGGTATTCTTCGGTGAAACTGTGATATCTTCACACGTCGGGCTTCTCGCGGGCAGAGCGTCGGCTCGAAACTCTTTACTTCTCGGGATCTTCGGGGCTTCAGGACTCGCTTCGGATCTTGGGATGATATCGGGGTTTCGGGGGTGTAACTTACACGTAAATCAAGGTAATATGGAGTAAGAGGAAAGAAATTGGCAACCCTAAACGGCTGGCCTCGCTTTCTATTTATAGGGGCTGAAATCCTATGCTCACGTCGTGAGCTCGATATGTCACTGCGTTCATCATGGCCACTTGCCCTGGAAGATGTCCATCACCCGCTCATATCGTGAACACTGTGCTCCCGTCTGAGCTTTGACATAGGGGTTGAAGTTCGTTCCCCGAACTTCAGAAATTCATATCTTTTGCATACGAACTCCGTTTTCGATGTTCTTTATATTCACGTGTAGGTGAGATTATGCTCTACAACTTTCATTTAGATTCCATCGGCTAATTTTAACTTTATTTTTATTATATTATTTTTAGTAGGCTATGATAGGAAAACTCTGCCAGAAATTCATAGCTTCTTCATCTGACATCCGTTTTCATCTGTCTTTTCACCGTTGGACTACTATCGATGAGATCTTCGATTCTCGTTTAGATTGTTTCGGCTAGAAATCACTCGATCTCATATTTGAACTTTGGACTGCATACTGCTAAGTCGAAACTTAGAAAAATCATAACTTCCTCATGCGAAGTCAGATTTAGACGCTCTTTTTATACACACTCTCGGTTTAACTTATTCTACGACTTTCGTTTAGATCACTAAGGCTAAATATCGCTTTAACGTAAATTCAGGATTTACATCACACAGTGTCGTACTGGTTCTTTCACAAAACTACGACAGGTCATAACTACTTCGTTATAACTCGGATTTCGGCATTCTTTATATTTTCAGAATCCTCGTAACGACCACTACAACTTCATGTATATATATCGGGCTTATATAATATTTTATTATTATGATTATTGTTGTTTTTAATTCATTTAAGTCACACAATTAAGCATAAAACACATAACACTCAAAATAATACATTTTTATTATTTCACAACGGTTTACAAATGTTAACCTAAACTATTACATCATCATTAATGCCTAGCCTAAAAACATGGGTGTTACAACTAGTAAGCGGTAGTGAGTTGTATGATTGTTGTTTTGCTTGTATTATGTATCTACTTGATCTTAATTGTTTATATGTCGACATATGATAATAGTGGGTTGAGGCGGTCCTATTGTGTGTTGTAGGCCAAGATACCCGGTGCAGGATGACTGTAAGTCGTAGGCACTTTAGGCTCGAATAGAGTGGTTGGGTTGGGGTGGTAGGCCAAAAAAAACCCTGGTATTCCAGTTCGATTGTTGATTGGACCCGTTACTTGTTGATATTCCAGTTCGAGGACTGATTAGGCCTGGGCATTCGATAGGTGGTTGTTCTATTTTGATAAATTCGGTGTTAGGTTCCATTGGCATGTATTTTCTATCTTTGTTTCGCATGCGTGTTCAAATTAAAAAGAAGTTGGAATTGTTGCGTTCAATGGCGGAGGGAGTACCGGTAAACTATTAAACCAAATGCTCTTTTATTAATTAAAGCCAACTCATTTTAAGTAAACGGAAAATTTTGATTTTTAACTTTGATGCTTAGTTGGTTACATTGAATCAACACCAATACCAAGATAATTATAATTAATATTACATATTCAACTTTTTTTGTAAATTTTAATTAGTAATATTGCTATGATTGGTAATTTACCAATTTATAATAACAACGTAAATCGTGGGCAACAAATGATTTACAATATATATATATATATATATATATATATATATATATATATATATATATATATATATATATATATATATATATATATATATAGGTTTAGGGAATATGTGACTGTTATTTACTTAATATTAAGCATAGAACCATAAAAACTACATAGTTTTAACAAAATGCAATCAAATATATCTACCATCTTTCTTGTATTCTGTATTATACTAGATGATAGACTTTGTACATATTTTTATGAAGTTTTAAATATTTAATTTTACACCACAAACCATGTATAAAAATACATTATCAATTACCTATAAATCTTCATATTCCAATTTAATATAGAAATCTATAGTGAAAGATTGAAATTGTTATTAAAAACCCAATAAACTTCTTCCCATAACACATCAAAAAGAACCATGCAGGTATATATATGGTAGGTGTCAAAGAACGTTATGAAACTTACTAGATGTCTAATAGAAACAACACATTCGAAATACATAGATGCTGGAGATAAATTATGAAATAAGAAATAATATGAGCTCTAAAATAATAGAAGGAAGCTAACAATGAAAAAAAAAAAATTTAATTAAGATGAAGTCAATTTTGATGGTTGTATACCTAATATTACATACATGAGAGCCACATATTCATTTTTCAATATATATATATATATATATATATATATATATATATATATATATATATATATATATATTTCAAATGAAAATAAAACTTATCTATATACTAACTATGTATTTTCGTATAAGAAAGTGCATATGGTCTTGAAAATTGATTTTTGCAAATAATGATATAACTTTTATTTGAACGATTTTGTTTTGTCAATTTCTCTGGTAAATTTGTAGATCCTATTATGTCATTTGGATATAAATATATTATAATATTTTATTATAGCCCCTTTTATTAAAAAAAATTGGCTCCACCTTGATTGCGTTAAAAAATTCCTTGGATTTCTTGGAATATGGTGATTGCATCTAAATGTAAGGGTGGTCTTCAGTTTGGCATCTAAATGTAAGGGTGGTCTTCAGTTTGGCAGCTTGGAAGCTTTGAATTATGCATTGTTACAAAAATGGCAGTGGAGATATTACCAAAGTCCTAATTCCATTTGGGTTAAGTTGGTAAATACAATCTATGGTACAAAAAATTGAGATGTTTGTCGTCTTCAGCTTGGTCGTGGTGGTAGGGTGTGGGCCCGTATAATGGGGTCTATCAAAATGATGAATGAAAAAAGATATTATTTTGTTAAATACCCTTAGGAAATCTATTGGAAATGGGTGTGATACGATATTTTGGACATATATTTGGGTAGGAGAAACTTCTTTCATGTCGAGGTTTGATAGATTATTTGCTTTGGAGATGCATAAAGAGTGTTTCGTAATCAAAGGTGGGGTGCAATGGAAGCTTGGCGATGGCGTCGACCCCTAAGAAGTGGTGATCAACAAGTGCAATTTGATGAGTTGATGAGGATTTTGTTTGATGTGATCCTTTCTAGTGTCAAAGATAAATGGCGATGGGTTTTACAAGGTTCGATTGACTTTACGATTTTTAATACTAGGAAAATTATCGATCAGATGTTGTTTCCGAATGCGGCTACTCCCACCGGATGGAATCCATACATCCATATGAAGGTTAATATATTTGTGGGGCATGCGTTGTTGGATCTCCTTCCTACGAGATGAAATTTAAGTCATAAAGGTGTTGAAGTGGCTTCTTTGTTATATATGATTTATTCTTCTTCGGTGGAAGTTTCAAATCATGTTTTTGTTTCTTGTGAACTTTAAGTGGGTATTTGGAAAAAGGTTTTTTTGTTGGTTTGATGTGGTTCAGCTGATTTGGACGGCAATGAATGACATTGTTAATTCAGAAGGTGTCAAGAAAAGGAGCATGGTGGGGGGCTATTATCTTTGTGATTCTTTGGAGGATTTGAAGGTTTCGTAATGACCTGATGTTTGGAGAGTTGGTGTGTTGATGAGATGAAATTTTTGATAGCATTGTTGATTTTACATTTAATTTGTTCATTTTTAGAAACTTAAAAATTTCGTTAAATGGGTTGATTAACTTAATAACCCTTATATAGCTATTTCCTTGTAACTTCTTGTTTTTTTTTTCAAATTTTATTCAATTAAGCCTTTCTATTAAAAAAAATGACATCTTCTTATATAGAGGGAGACCATTTAAAAAAAAATAGATATTCGAAAATCTTTACTTCGAGAATATTTTACTTTCGATACATTTTCATTTTTGAAGATCATGATTAGATACTGAATTACTGATATTTTCATTATAGTTGTAGGTGGTTGTAATGTTTGACACTATTCATACTATATTGTTTGATTGAACCGTCTTATGGAGTTTTTTTTTTTTTTTTTTTTTTAATATACGATTTATTAATTACAAAAAACTAATTTCCTATGTATTAATTTGTCGTTTTGAATAAATAATATAATCTTATTCTTAATATGTATTTTTAAAGATTGAATATAAGCTTATAGTTTTCATCATTTTTTTCATAGTTAATCTTCCCTTTAATTTGAATAACATCATCATTTTTTTAATATAATATCAAATGTTAATATGTGCTGAGAAAATATCAATAAATAGTTCGTCTACGACAATATGCAATACGATATTGAATGTGTATATGACATTCAAGAGTCACGAAATGATATAATCCGTGATAGTATTGCAATTTGGTAAATGGTACATGAAATTTCATTTATCATTGCTGCTAATATTGCAATATAATAAATGGTGCATGAAAATTCATTTAAGCATGAATAACCAGAAAATAATTAAATGAAATGTATTCTACATTCGTCAAATAATAATGAGCATTCTTTTAGATACATTCTTATGTCTTAATATTTCTTATTTCTCAAACATCACGAAATGATATATCAAATGTCTTTACAATTGGGGTTGGAAGTGACATCACACATTACAATTTAAACATCCTATATAATTTTTAAGGTGTTTTTATTGGTTAAAACTGTGTTTTCTGAAAAAAAAAATATTAAAAATAATTAACTAAAGATTAACTTTACAATTTACTTTCCTTTTAGCATAATCAGCATGCATCGTATCGACAAGGTCAACTCTATTTTTATAATATACAAGTTGACTGTTTTAAAAAATCCTGTGGACTCTCTCTATGACTCAAAACCCAAACCCACCCATAATCTATAGATACATTATTTATGTACGTATATGTAAAAAAAGGGTGGCAGAAAAGAAAAGATGAAAGCAAAACAATGGGCAGATACTTGTCGGTGAAACTAGTTTTACAAAACCAACACCAACTGCAAAACCAGCTGCTCCGCCCCTTACTATATCAGCCACCATACGTACCTTTCTACTTTCTACTTTCTACCATCGCTCCTATCTTCATCTCTACCCAAAATAATCAATGAATTCGCAGTTTTAAATTCTGGGTTTTAATCCCAACATCATTTTAGCTGGTGGGTGTCTCTCAAAATCTGTTCTTGTACTAATTAGTTTTCTGAATTTTTTTGATTAGTTTTAGAAGCTGTTTCAATGGAGACAAATGGAATGTTCTCTAACACGTCTGGAGGGTCGGGAATGTTAGGGCTTGAAATGTCGTTAAACCACCAGCAAAATCCCAACTTCCTTCACCAGCAACCACCGTTCGCGGCGGCGGCGGCAAAACAAGGGTACCCGTATGCAGCTCCAAAACAAAAAGCTTCGCCGATTAGCGACGAAGAAGAGCCGCATAGCAACAATATGAACAATCCGTCTACCACCGAGGATAGCGGCGGCGATGGGAAGTTGAGAAAGGGGTCACCGTGGCAGAGAATGAAATGGACGGATAACATGGTGAGGTTGTTGATAATGGTGGTTTTCTATATCGGAGATGAAGGTGGGTCGGAGCAACCAAGTGGGTCCGACACGGCGGCGAAAAAGAAAGGCGGTGTTGGTGGGGTTTTACAGAAGAAAGGGAAATGGAAATCGGTTTCCAGAGCGATGATGGAAAGAGGGTTTTACGTTTCTCCACAACAATGTGAAGATAAATTCAATGATTTGAATAAAAGATATAAAAGGGTTAACGACATTTTAGGGAAAGGAACTGCTTGTAAAGTCGTCGAGAATCAAAGTTTGCTCGAAACCATGGATCATTTATCGCCGAAATTGAAGGAAGAAGCCAAGAAATTACTCAATTCGAAGCATCTTTTCTTCAGGGAAATGTGTGCTTATCATAATAGCTGCGGCGGAGGGAGTGGCGGAAGTGTTGCAGCCCACCATTCTTCACCACCGGAAGTCACCACAACCGAACAGCCTCCACACCACAGACAGAATTGCGTCCATTCAAACAACGAAGACGAAGAAGACGACGATGAGGGAGAAGATGATGAAGACGACGGCGATGGCCACCCCGATGAGGAGGAGGACGACGGCTTATCAAGCCGGAAAAGAGGTAGAACCGCAGAAAACGATGGGCATGACGGCATAATCCAACAATTTAATGGCGAAATCAGTTGTGTGATGCAAGATTTGACAAAAAGCGTATGGGAAAAGAGGCAATGGATGAAGGTAAAGATGATGCAATTGGAAGAACAAAGAGTAGGGTTTCAAGGGCAATCTTACGAATTAGAGAAGCAAAGATTGAAATGGGTGAAATTTAGCTGCAAAAAAGAGAGAGAAATGGAGGTGGAGAAGCTAAGGAATGAAAGAATGAAGCTTGAGAATGAAAGAATGGTGCTTTTGTTAAGGCAAAAAGAGATGGAATTGGTTGATCTTCAACACCAATACTCATCTAATCTTCATAAGAGAACAACTGATTAATCTTTCTATTAATGGTTGATGTCATTTCTTTTTCTGTAGATATATAACTTGTTTTTTTTTTTTTTTTTTTTTTTTACTTAACTTTTGTTTTCGATGAATGTTTACATGTTTAAAATGCAACACCGGGTTTGAGATCATGGCGAGGAACACCATCATTTGGAGAACCCACGCCCTTGGCATGGGTAGTACGTGGTAGCCTTAAATTTTGAAAGATGGAGAAATTGATCTCAAACATTAAAAATGACATAGTTTAAGTATGTAACAAGTAATATACAATTAATAACAAAACATAAGTTTATAAAAGTCCAAATGCATCTTCTGAAATTCCAAGTTTTAAGTCTTTCATCGTCAACTACTCTGAACTAAGTTGGATACATATCAAAAATCAAAATAATAAGCTAGGAAATATGATACATAGTGAGTTAATAATAAGTCAAATATTCAAGTTCTCAAGTTCAACTCTTAAACCTTTTAAAATTTAAATAACCCGTAAATTCCCACATTGGGGATAGAAACAACTACAATTTCAATCATATGAAAATTGAAACTCAACATTTATATAAACAATTATAACATTCAAAAAAAGGAATACAAATGCAATATACAATTATTTCAAACTCAAGTCAATCTCATAACCCAACTCACACAATTATGACAAAATTCGAGCTCAACGGATTGTAAACTTCATATATGATATTGTCCAATGGCTCATTGTAGTATAAGGCATAGCACACACACATCCTCCTGCCCGTTAAAAATACTAGGGCATAGTATGATATTTCCCTGGACCACATGTAGGTTAGCAAGTCCTCACATGCATATGAGGGGTTCTAGACTAGAATGTCATCACTCATCACAACCCTTAGCTAATTTTGTGGGATCACAAGTTCTTAAGGCCACTCGACTCAAACTCCTACCCATACACATGATTGAAATCATTTTTAAAACACCAACTATTAGGAAATGATGCTTTTTAATGGGAAAATGACATTGTAGCTTTATAATGTTTTTGGAATTTTTCTCTAAGTGGTTATTTTTTATAACCGGGTTACCTTTTATGTCTAAATGGCTATATTTTATACCTGGTTACCTTTTATGTCTAAATGGTTATTTTGTTGGGTCTAAATTGTTGTTTTTTATTACCGGGTTAACTTTTATGTCAAACTCATTTAATAATTAAATGACTAAATTCAATAAAGACAAAATTTCACAATTGGTCTCTGTGGTTAACAAAATATTGTATTTTGAGGACTTTCTAGCAAAAAATCACGTGATTGGTCCCAATGATTTGTAAAATTATATAAAACGTCCTTCTGCCGTTAAATCTAATTTTTCAGTTGTTATATTTTAATGAAAAAACTATTTTGCCTTTGTACCAATATTACAATACACTACAAACCTCAAAGATCATTTCTGTAATTTTATAAATTTGAAATTCAATATGTTTATAAATTATCCTATATATATATAAACTATAATTATAAATTATATATATATATATATATATATATATATATATATATATATATATATATATTCAGCAACTTGATAATTTTTTTTATCTTTTTGATATTTTTTTCTATTTTTATTTTATAATTTAGTTATTTATTATTTTTAATGTTTTTATTTATTTTGATTCAAGTAAATAAACTTAAATTCGATAAATTATATCGAAACCTTTTTTTCTCTTAATTATGAAATGAAACATTACTGTTTTTTTTTTTTTTTTTTTAATTTTATGTTGTTACGGTTTATTTTTTATTTTTTATTTTTCTACTTTGATGCTCTATAATTAATATCGTTAACTTTATGTTTGCATTTATCATTATCATTATTTCATCTTTTGTTGTTATATATATATATATATATATATATATATATATATATATATATATATATATATATATATATATATATATATATATATATATATAAGAGGCATAAATTTTAAAACATATTGTACAATTAGAAAATGCATAAATCAACTCTCCTAAATATTAGGTTTTAAAAGAGTTGATTACCCTAATCTTGCCAATAACTAATCACTAATTAAATATTGGATCCCTTAAATTGTGGAAAAAATTATGGAATTTAGAATAGACAATCTTATTTTATTTATTTCTCCATTTCATGGGGTATATGACTCAAATGGCCCTAAAATGGAGTCTACAAGATGCATGGGTGCTTATGGCCATAAGAACCCCCTATGGTTCCAGATCTGAAGTCATGCTCCTTTATAACCACAAAATCCCGATTATGACTCTATAAGAGCTTAGAAAAGATGGAAATGAACCCTAACTAGAGATTTAAGAGATAGATGGTCAAGGTTAGGGCTTTTTACCTCCAATAAGCTGGAAATGGGACACAACCTCTAGATCTACTAGCTTCCACTTGAACTCCCAAGCTCCTTCTTCCTTCTCAAGCTTCACAACCACAACAAACACACAAAAATGGCTCAAGAACACTCAAACAAGGTTAGGGTTTCGATTTAGGGCTCTTCTAGACTGAGAGGGACGGTAGGGATGGCAAAAAAACCCGAAACCCGATCATTTCGGGTCGGGTAACGGGTCGTTATCGGGTTTTTTAGCGGGTTCGGGGCAGGGAGTGGGTTATCCTCGCCCCGACCCGATTATATATATATAATATGTTCAAAAAAATTTGCTGTTAATTGTACACATTCAAATATAAAATACTTATCGTGGACAATTTTTTTAGTTATTAACAATCTGGTGTTAATGATCATTTTTATGTGTTTTGACGTATTAAACAAAACTTAAATCAAATAATTTTTTATATAACGTCCAGTTTATTTTATTAAAGTGATGCATCATGTTTTTAATTTAAAAGAGTTGCTAGAACATGTATATTTTATAAGACATTGGCGTACCCTAAAAGAGAATAAAGATTTCGTTATCAGTTGTTGTAAACCTGATAAGATACCCGAAACCCGACGGGGAAACCTGAAACCCAATGGGGCGCCCCGAGAAGATACCCGAAAGTTATCGGGGCGGGTTTGGGAATCCATGCCCCGCCCCGAACCCGCCCCATTGCCATTCTTAAGGGACGGTGGACATTGGGTTGGGACAAGATAAGGCGTTTAAATATGGTGCAAACCCTAAATATTAGGGTTTCCTCCAGACAGGCCTACTCGTCGAGTCAAGGCATCCGACTCGGCGAGTAGGTTCTCCTTCTCGCGTCCCATTTTAACCTCTACTTGACGAGTTCGTGCCTCTAACTCGCCGAGTCCCATAACTAAAGTACAAAATTTTATAATTAAATTACGTACAAGGAACCGGGTGTTACACTTGTTTTTAGTTAAAAAAGATGTAAGGGTAGGGAGATTGCATTGCTGCCTCAAATGGAACGATTGACATTGAAAGATTATATAGATCCAGAGGAAGTAGTTCAAAAAAAAAATTTACAAGATTTATTTTTACTTGGCTTGTAAAAAAACAAAAGAAAAATATAGATAGTATTTACTTTTATTTGGTATGTAAAACTATCATGTTCATCATCTTCTTCTGGTATCATTATCAACCTACTGCCGAGAGCTTCCCAATCTAACCTCATCCATCTTCGCCCATTGCAATAACCACATCGCACCACCACCTCCCTACCGAATAACTACCACCCTTCGCAGCTTCCTTTCCACTTAACCATCTCCGACCACCACTAACTTACCTTATACCACCACCACTAGTTACAGTTATCACAACCTCCAAACTTTCAAAACCACCATATAACTTCACCAACTATCACCACCATTGCACCCTTGTACATCCGTTGCCACAAAACTGCAAACACCAAGACCTCCTTCAACCATCACTATGTTACCAACGGTTTCTTTTGGTGATGGCATCGTCTACGTTGAGTTTGGATCTAGTAACAAACAAATGATCAAAATGTGATGTTGACTTTCTAATGATATCCACATCAACATATATTTGTTTCTTTTTCTAGGATATTTGGATTTAATTTGATTACATGGCACAAAATTGGTTATTATATGTTAGAGTGACTAAATAAGCACGTAAAACCCCACCTTATGCTCCTATAAAACCAGATTAATAGTTAAGGGATTGATTAGACCAATTTTAAAAACATTGTAAGGCTATAATGTCATTTCTTCTTTTCCAAAATATAAATCATAAAACATATAAAATTGATATCATAAACGAAAGCATGTCAATATCTACAAAACTATTAAGTGACATGTATCCATGGGTAGAAACTCACCTCAATTAACTCAATTAACTAAAGATGCTCAACTTTACTACTTATGGTGGATGGTTCTCTAATGGTCACCTAAACAAGAAATTCTAAATTCATCATTTAACCATTAATTAATTTCTTAAAGATATCGCTTTTGGATTCTTGTTGCATCTATTAGGCATGTTCCCCAAACCAATAGAATAGTAATGAAGTGGTTTGAGATTAAGTAGATCAACCGAGCAAAAGTTATTAAATTTACAAGAAATTGGGGAGACTACTACATAGGTCCTGTAAAAAATTTCATGCCAGTTACATGATCGTGTAATGCCCAAGCAACACCATTTCATGGTTTTTGCCCCATTACGGTATTATACTTTGGTTCTTATGACTTCAACTCTTCATTATATCGTCCATTTGACCATCAAATGCTAAACGAAGATAAGTTAGCTTGTTTTCCTCAATTAACATCAATAATAATCAAATGATGTATAATCCTGATTTGAAGATATGGCGACTCATAACTTTAAACTCATGATTAAATTCAATATAAGTCAGAAACACCTCTAACTAGGACATTAACTTCCCTCAATGATTAGTTGATTATTATGGATTGTGACTCAAATTGAATAATTAACATAGATTTATGGTTCAACATTAAGTTCGAATAAATTTAGAATCACATCAAACCACAAACAACTACAAGCATAAAGTCCATTAAAACGCCATTAATGGCTTGAATTCTAGTTAATAGTTTAAATAAGTAATGATAGTAATATGTTTTTGGATTC